GTAACATATTTAGGATCGCACACATATGGACGAAGACGACGACAGCAGCCTATGGGGATCCGAAGAGATTGATGCTTTTCTGCGGAAGGATGACACCGCCACATCCTCCCATGCAGTCAGTCACACACACAAGCAAAAAACAAAGCACACAACGAAGACAAAAAAGAAGAAAGACAACAAAGACAAAAAGGACAGAACAGTCGTGAAAACAAAGAAAACACGCAACATTTCTCCAGCATCCCATTCCACAGCACAGCAACAACGCCAACATCCACATACTACAAGACGAAAGAGGACACGCTCTTCGCACTCAACATCATCAGCTTCACCTACGGCAACGCCACAAGTGGCTGAGGACGCACACCGATCTCCATCGCGAGATCCTTGGTCTTCTGACTCGATTGCACCTTACGATGTTGTGCATCCTATCATTCAACATAAGCGGTCCAAAACCGCTTGTGCAAAAATGCTGGTACGTGCAGGTTTCAGATGTAGATGCCATTTCAAGATCATGAGCGACTGTCCCAACAATCCCGATGTTGGATCCTAATTCTCAGGACGGATTAGGGCTGCTAGTTCCGCTAAGCGTGACAAAAAAGCCTTCGCATGCGAGTGTCAGCAAGACACTACTTGGTTGTGTCTCCTGTGCACACAGCATGTCCATGTTGTTTTGCATTCCTTGTTCAAGCGATTATCAGTTGGTAGCAGCAAAACATGACAAAGCGAAAGGCTGCTGAGGCCGGCCTTCCATGGTACTCCATGGCAGGACAATGTTTTCGGATGACTGTTGAAATTCCACCGGACCGCATTACCAGAGACAAGCACATGCTCTTACATGTGGTGCTTTGTCTGGGTGACAACATTCTACAAGCTCGCAAGATCTTCTCCTACCGCATCAAGGAGATCACCGGCAGAACTCCTAAAATCCCTGCTTTCTTCTTCGAACAAAACCGTCGACGACTACATGATTGGGATTCAGTCACCACATTAGCCACGCTGAAGCCGGTGCTTTTTGTTAGAACATGTTCGGATCAGGAAACACGACAATCACCCGACCGCTAGTGACAGCGAGAAAAGTGCGCCAATCACTTTTTGCCATGGATCAGACATTTCACTCTACTTGAAGCATACACGCCCCATTGGGGCTGTGTGTGTGTGAACCTCCCTAGCACATGGGAGCAGAGGGTCACTCCTACATTGCTTGCAATTTTGCTTTGCAACACAATCCGACATTTGACACTCAACGATTTAAATGTTGCAGGGGAGTGGTGCATGCTGTCGGAGTCACCACTCAACGAAGACGCTCCTTCAGCATGGTGATATGGAATCGGGACGCTGATTCCACGTACCTGCATGGCAGCCCCCTGTGGTGCCAAGATCAGTGTGAGGACAGGCCCCCTGTGGTGTCCAGATTAGTCAAACAATTTTGTACGGTTGCCACAATCTGAAAAACTTTTACAACATGAACAACATGCCTCTCTTTTTCCTCTTGCACTCGTACTCTTGGCCGAATCCATCAGTGTGTCGGTGTGTGTCGGTGTGTGTGTCGGTGTGTGTGTCGGTGTGTGTCGGTGTGTGTGTGTGTGTCTGTGTGTGTGTGTGTGTCGGTGTGTGTGTGTGTCGGTGTGTGTGTGTGTGTGTCGGTGTGTGTGTGTGTGTGTGTGTGTGTGTGTGTGTGTGTGTGTGTGTGTGTGTGTGTGTGTGTGTGTGTGTGTGTGTGTGTGTGTGTGTGTGTGTGTGTGTGTGTGTGTGTGTGTGTGTGTGTGTGTGTGTGTGTGTGTGTGTGTGTGTGTGTGTGTGTGTGTGTGTGTGTGTGTGTGTGTGTGTGTGTGTGTGTGTGTGTGTGTGTGTGTGTGTGTGTGTGTGTGTGTGTGTGTGTGTGTGTGTGTGTGTGTGTGTGTGTGTGTGTGTGTGTGTGTGTGTGTGTGTGTGTGTGTGTGTGTCGGTGTGTGTGTGTGTGTGTGTGTGTGTGTGTGTGTGTGTGTGTGTGTGTGTGTGTGTGTGTCGTGTGTGGTGTGTGTGTGTGTGTGTGTGTGTGTGTGTGTGTGTGTGTGTGTGTGTGTGGTGTGTGTGTGTGGTGTGTGTGTGTGTCTGTGTCTGTGTGTCTGTGTGTGTGTCTGTGTGTCTGTGTGTCTGTGTGTCTGTGTGTCTGTGTGTCTGTGTGTCTGTGTGTCTGTGTGTCTGTGTGTCTGTGTGTCTGTGTGTCTGTGTGTCTGTGTGTCTGTGTGTCTGTGTGTCTGTGTGTCTGTGTGTCTGTGTGTCTGTGTGTCTGTGTGTCTGTGTGTCTGTGTGTCTGTGTGTCTGTGTGTCTGTGTGTCTGTGTCTGTGTGTCTGTGTGTCTGTGTGTCTGTGTGTCTGTGTGTCTGTGTGTCTGTGTGTCTGTGTTTCTGTGTGTCTGTGTGTCTGTGTGTCTGTGTGTCTGTGTGTCTGTGTGTCTGTGTGTCTGTGTGTCTGTGTGTCTGTGTGTCTGTGTGTGTCTGTGGTGTGTGTCTGTGTGTGTGTCTGTGTGTGTGTCTGTGTCTGTGTGTGTCTGTCTGTGTGTGTGTGTGTGTGTGTCTGTGTGTGTGTGTCTGTGTGTGTGTCTGTGTGTGTGTGTGTCTGTGTGTGTGTCTGTGTCTGTGTCTGTGTGTGTGTCTGTGTGTGTGTCTGTGTGTGTGTGTGTGTGTCTGTGTGTGTGTCTGTGTGTGTCTCTATGTGTGTCTGTGTGTGTCTGTGTGTGTCTGTGCGTGTCTGAGTGTGTCTGTGTGTGTCTGTGTGTCTGTGTGTCCGTGTGTGCGTGCACGCGGGTGTGCGCGTGTGCGGCCTTGTGCGGCCGGCCGTGTGCAGCCGTGTGCGGGTACCTACCTGCATACCTAACTGCATGCATACATACCTACAACCTGAGTTACGGCTCTTCCACCTGCAGCCGAAGGAGGTTTCATGCTGCTGTGTGCTGATATACGGTGTTCTATGCGTTTGTCGAGCTGCCATGGGGCATGCCATCTTGTTTTAATGCTTTAGAAATTGCAAGCGAGGAGGCGGGAGGGAGGGAGGAAGGGAGAGAGAGGGACGGAGGGAGGGAGGGAGGAAAGGAGAGAGGGAGGGAGGGAGGGAGGGAGGCAGACACAGATCCCACACCTTGCCTGCAGAGCAGTGGCCCGATGTGACCGGGCTGAAAGTCGTGCCTGACGCAACTCAGGTTACACCCAGTGGGAACGCCTGGCAACTTGCAAGCTGTTGATCAGTGCTTCTGTCCACCTAGACGTCCTGATGGCTTCCACCATCACCAGGGCCCCTGAATCCTAGACTCCTACTAACCGAGTGCGATCGACAGCTTCGCCGCCGCAAGCGACGCATGCCAAGGTGCCTCCGGCACATCTCCAGGAGGCAGCTCTGCCTGGAGACGAGCGCAGACATGCATCCTGCAACCCGTAAACACAGCTGGCCCCTGGGCCCGTATTGAAGACCCTGAGATCACAACTTGTTGTGGCATGCTGGCATACACTGGCATACTGTAAGTGCTGCACTGGCGGCACCCTTTGCCACGTGACATCGCACGACCACATGCAAGTGTCTCAAACTCCTTGCCTCCGTGGCGTTCAGCGCCACCTACGAGCACGTGCGCAGGAATCCCTGTCGCCTGCGCCTCCAATCCGTGACTCATGACCCTCACGCTCCGAAAAGAAACTGTGGAGGACCTCGATCCTGTCCGTGCGATTGACGCTAACGAGCGCATCGGTGAGGAACAGAAGCGACAGCCTGGAATTGGAGTTCGTCGTAGTCATTGTCTGTAGTATTCGCTTTGCGTTTCCGCAATGTCGCTGTGGGCTGTGTTCTCCTTTCTATTGTAAGTTCAACAAGGCTAAGCGCATCCTCGGCCTAGCCCTGGGCTAGTCGAGACAATTCGAAACCCCTCGCCGAACACCCCCAAGAAATGGGTCCATGCAAATGTCGCATTTATTTGCAACGGAGGCACATGTAGAATCGTCCCATGGACGTGCTATGGAATCCAAGACTTGTAGTCATGTCTTGTCCTTGCCAGGGGTTTTGGAGTGACGCAGCTGGATCATCATGAATCAGTTTCAAACATGGCTTTGAATTTCGGCAATCTGAACCTGCTATGACCAAGTACCGACGACGCGCTGCCAGTTTCCGACTCCCTGTATCTCCCCGCCTGTATCGAATTTAATAGAGCTGTAGTTGGTGAAGGATGAGCCACTAACAGCTGCGAAGAGGGAACTCTATGCGTGAGGTCAAATGCTTGTTGATTGCACCCTGCTCCGGCGGTTCCTTTCTGCCAACATCTCGAGCAGCCTCAGACACAACTCCCAGCGTGCAGAGCTTTCGAACCAAGAAAGTGTGGCACGCACGGGAGTCCTTCGCACAAGTCACAGAGCTGCGAAAGGACTCATGGGAGTGTGAAACTGCAGCTCGACCCAGGGAAGGCTAGCAGACTTCCTTCCCAGACCTCAGCTTCGAAGGCTTTCCGAGATGCAGTTTGGGCTGCAACTAGGATAAACAAGTAATTGGGTGCGGCCGCAGTAGGAAACCGATGCCTTAGCACGATCTTCAGAAAGAACTGAGTTGTAGCGCCTGCGGGAAATTCACTCAGCTCGTAATTTTGTATCATTCTCATCATCATCGTCATCCCCATATATCGTTGTGCACTGTGTTGTGCAAAGCGCTGTAAATGTCGATATTCTGGGAATGCTCGCACAAGGCATCAGCGCTCGAGACACTGCGTCTTATGCGAGAAATGGCGAATATCCTTCCTTCAATCCGTGTGCAGTACATTGTATAAATTTGCGAAATGCTGTAGATACCAGAGGTTTGGTTGTGATGACACAGGGCATGAACGCTTGTGACAATGCATCAAACTCAAGCATCCATTGTACCAAGTGGCAAAAACGAGGCAAGCACCTGTTTTGCGGGCCGCCGTTAGAACCGACGTCATTATCCCCCCCAAATCCGAAAGAAATGTCCGAAAATGAAAACACGGCATCGCGTGCGCACGCTACGAACTAATTATGCCTTTTGGGAATTCGGCCGGGCATCTTCTTCCATCCCCGTGTGTTGTGCCGGCCGCCCCGCACACTGCAGGGCTCCCTGGCCATGGTGGCGACCAGACGACCAGACGGCTGGAGTCCAGCCTGGGCTGCACTCGTCATGCTGCTGCCGGACCCGGAAGGTCCGCGCGCTACTAGTACCCCAGTAGGTTCGTGAGAGCCCTGCCGCCCGGCCTGTGTCATGCGGCTGATCATCTCAGAAGCAGCGTCGGGGTTGCGGTTGTGGGCCATGACCACGGCCGACTCGAGGGTTTCTCGGTTCAGGCGAACTGAGCAGCTGAGGGCGTCGGCCAGAACCTGCGAGGCCCTGATCGCCTCTCCGTACTTCACACAGCCACTCAGCAGCGTCTCGAAGGTTTTCCCATCTGCTTCAACGCCATCCTCGAGCATGCGCTGGTACGCGTCCAAGGCTTTGGGTAAGTCGCCACTCCAAATACACGTGGACATCAGGCAGGTGTAGGCCTGCGTATTAAGCCGGAATCCGAAGCGCTTCGGATAATCCTCAATAACCTCCAAAGCCGCCGGCAGATCTCCACAGCGGCCGTACAGCTTCACGAGAATAGAGACTGTGAAGTTGGAGGGCGCAACCCCGGCTTTCCTTGCGGACTCAAAGGCCAGAAATCAACCGAAACACAGAAGCTCCTGCGAGACTCAGCCAAGGATCTCCATGTCAGCCAGGACCTCAGCTGACAATACGATTAGCGGCTGATTCGCGGCACAAAATCAAAAGAGACCTGTCTGCGCCACTGCCGATGCCAAATGTCCGGGCCGCGCCTCTTCCGTTAGAGCACGCCTCTGACTCCGAGCACAGCCATGCCTGGCTTCAAACACACGCGAGCCACCATCTCTTGCTCTGGCAATCTCCGCAGCCAAGTCGCAGAATGGAGTTGAAGAGTATCGAGTCTGGCTGAATCCCTTGGCCCTGCATCTGGCCCAGAAGCAGGATCGCTGTCCTGACACACTCACGAAACCAGCAAAAGCTGGGAAATCATGCAGCGACATGAACTTACGAAACCACACAGACATCACATTCTACTTCGCCAGCCGAGTCTCTCGAGGTCTCCGGAGCTCGCAAAGCCTACGCGGATATTGCTGGGGTGATGTGCAACTTTGGATCAGGTCTCTGGATACCTGGATACCTCTGTATGAAACACTGATCCTGGCTCTTCCTTCTGCCTTCTGGCCACAACGCGCGACGAAAGCCGATGCGGATGCGTGCTTAGAACCCGGTGCGGAAAATGGCCGAGCAAAACTGACCGGGCAAACTCCAAAAGACACTCAGCAAGGCGCCTTTGATGAGGATGGAGAAGCTGATGAGATCGGGCCCTGCGCATAGCGAAAGTGCTCCGACATGCACCCTGCCGGAAGACCCTGTTTCGAGTCCTGTATCCTGGCACGCCATATCCCGAAACAGCTGCATGGCTCGCTTGAGATCTCCTGCACGAACCAATGCCTGAGGCAAACACCCGAAGAGACGACAAATTCATGCCGAAGCCACGCAAACAAATGGCGAATGCTCAGGCTTCCAAGCTGCATCTATCAAGGTGTTGTACGTGACGGCAGTGAGTCGCAGTGCACCCTTGGTCTCTTCGTAGAGCCTGAAGCTGCGTCTCGATGCCCTCAATGCCCTCCGCTCTCCCTCCGTCGAAGGCAAGGCACTCCACGGCAGCGGCCAGCTGCTGGGACGCAGTCGCAGCCTTCAAAGAAGGCACAGCAAGCCCCGCCGGCCCCGACCCGGCTGAGTCCAAACTTGGGCGGACCTTCACAGCCAGCGCGAAGGCCACGGCAGCTCTTGGGAAGCCGGCAAGGAGTGCCCGTGATTCCTGCGAGCTGCTTTGTGATTGAGGCCCGGCGAGCACAAGCGTCGATGCTCCTTGAAGACGCGCAAAGCCGCCTTGACGTCGGAGGTCGCCAAGCAAGCATCAACCTTGCTTCTCATCCGAATGCACAGACCGCTGAACGCACATCAGCCGACGCTCAATGCGGCAGAACGTTCAAAACCACTGGGACCAGCTGGTACGGCAGCAGAGCGACCATGCTCATGAAGGCATCCTCGTGCTTTGTATCAACACAACAATGAACTTCTTACCTCGTCTAGACAACGTCGAACTTGGAGATCCCAGCAACAAATCGCATATGCAGGAGACACGAGCCCTGTCCTCCGTCAGCTCCGTGTCATCAAGCCTTCGGCTGCTTCTACTTCCATGTGCGCGCTCTTCTGGATATCCGTTTTGCCGTGATCTTGTCAGAGCTTACAGAACCCTGGCCCCGAAGTTTGCCAAGGTACCTACCGGCAAAATGCACCAACAGACCCATCAATTCGGATTCTTTGCAACCTTGTTTGCCTTGGCACTGCCGCAATGCACCAATTTTCTTTAGTCCTGACGGTCACCCCCGGGTGCAAGATGTAGTGCCAAGGCATGGGTGAAGTCTTGGGGGAGGCAGGTGTATACCGTACGGTGTCAGGGAACATGCAAAATTTTGGACCAGCATGTTGTCAATGAGAGAAGCTCCATGCGATGCTTCTGGCCGGGGCGAAGCACAAGACCATACTGATATGATATTTGTGCCTCCATTAAACGAAGTGTGAGTAGGTTCCTGTATAGATATAGCTTCCTTACAAGATTTCTAGAACGACAGTTCTTGACCGGGCTCTGACATACGGCAGAGGCCACCTGTGGCCTTTGCTCATTTCCCGGTGCGCTTGGCAGCTCTGTTCTGTTCTCGCCGAGTCGCAGCCGCCGCCAGAGACGCCAGGCCTCGGGCAAGTTCCTTGCATGCCCGTGGGCGCGCATCAGCATCACGCTGGCCTCGCGAGAACACAACCAATTCACGCAGCTCCTACTCAGAACAGGTCACGTTTCTCCTCCCACATGTCATTTCGGGATTCGAGTGGATGGGACGAGAGCAAGCCCAAAACCAGGAACAGTTGCACCTTGGGCCGTGCATCCCGCAATTCGAACCCCCTCGAAACCTGACTCGAAGCTCTGATGCTCTTATCAACCGTCGGGCTATGGTGGATTGCAACCCGGGCGCATGAGGCGAGGGTGCCAGTCCCGTCGTTTCCCAGCGTCTCAGCAGTTCCGGTAGTCTCGAAAGGTCCTGGGCTGGGCGCTGCTACGAAGTGGCCAATGGGATGCTGCAATGCCTAGAGGATCCGACACGGAGTTGCCAAGGCACCTTCAGCCGGATGCAGACATCCAATAGGCAGTTCAGCAACACTTCGTCCAGCACGATCCCACCTGGGCCGACATGCTTGCGGGAGCTGATCCACTACAAGACGCTCCTAAATGAATCCAGTTCCGTGAAAACTGAGCAAGCAACCCACCGAGACCGCACCCCTAGGACATTTAAATTACTCTCTACAGAATACGATGCAGTGGAATTTACAGTAGACTATGCCAAACCCCCCTAGTCAGCCTTTCCTCGTGATTCTCCAGTCTGGCAAGGGGGCGGGCCTTTGGACATCAGCTCCAGGATCTGGTCCAGGTCCTGCGACGTCGGAGAGTGTCGCAGTCCTTGCGCGAGCTGGCATGCTTGCAGAATGTACATGCAACGGAAAGTACATGAGAAAAGGGAATCGAAGCACGACCTCTGAGACGACTCCCCTGGACGAAAATCCGAAGACAGCGATCCATCTGGGCACCTGCTGCCAAGATCGAGCAGGTGAAGGCATCTGGCTCCAGGCCCGCCCGTTGCATCTCCTTCACTGCTCTGGGCAGATGGGGCTCCCCTGCTGGGCACCGAAGGTTTTGAGGGAAAGCCAGGGAGGCCTTCGATTCCCCAACCGTGAACTCCGGTCCTGCACCAGCCGCCAAGATTGCCGTGGATTCTGTTGTGAGGCCTACAACAGGTGAGGCCAAACCAAAAACGGGAACTGCTGGAACCGTTCCTTGATGAGCGAGTTGTAGGTCACCACATTGGGCTTAATTCCCCTGCTGCGCATGTCCTGGCTAGGCTTCATGTGGCGAAGTGGCAACATGCAAACTTTCGGAAATGCGACATCCTCCAGCGTGATTTTGACCTGGGTGTGGTCTTGCATAGCAAGCAGCAGCTTCATGTACCTGCAGGGATCGAGACCATCAGATTCTCTCACCTTGGGCCTCATAGTTTTGCTCAAGCCGGCCAAGCCCATGCCATGACTTGAACAGATTCCGTTTGTCCGGATGGACTGATATGAGTGCCACCATGCGGCGTGTTGTACGACACGACATCGACGTGACCCGCTTTCCTCGGGACAAGCAAGGGGAAGGCATCCAGAACTAAAGCGCTCAATGTCGAATGTCCATGTCCGCCCCAGGCACGTCATCTTCTGCATGAGATCTTCGGCGGCCTTTCTGTCCCCACAAGCAACACAGGCCTTGCAGGCGAGAGTTTATGCTGCATCATGTGTCGGGAAGCAGAAACCAATGCAGATGTCGATGTACTGACGGTTGACAAAGGCTGACGCACATAAACCCAAGCTGGAGATGCCGCGCCAAGGGTTGCAAAGACACTACATGACACTACCAACTGAACGCAACTGAAAGTCCTTGAAGCCTTCGCCTCACAACCCGAAAACTGTGAATTGGCACGCATGCACTGCTTGCATCTCACCTCCAATGCGCAGTTGTAGGTGGTCGCATCGAGTTCCGACCTTTCTAGTGGACCCTCACACATCACCGTGACTCAGAGACACATGAAACTCATGAAACTCCCTGGGTTTGTAGCGTGCCGGAGCTCGGGAGCCATGTCGCTCGACATGCGGAAGCATAGGGCACGAAGGCTCCGACGTTCTCTGAAGCTCCGCCAGAAGGCTCAAAGCCTTTGCGACGTCCCGGTCCCGGCCAGCCGAGCGGATCATGGACATCACATTCATGACCTTTTTGCGAAAATGAGCGGGAATACCCTCCTTTCTGGTGCGAGTCTTCCGAGACAAACTTTAATCGCTTTGCTACAGCTTCAAAGGTCTGAGCTCGCGGCATCCGGGTTTTTGGACTCCTGGCACGGCCCGAGATGACTTAGCATATTGCACAAAGTGCGCGAGCGGAGGTTGCAACACCCTGCTCCTACGACGTACAACCAAAGAAGGACAGGTATCCTGATCGGCATCACGTTGTAATTGCAGGCTTTATGCAGAATCATTGCGAGATGCCTTTGTTCGTATGGCGCAATCTGTTGTTTGGGGCTGGGACAGCCTGTCTCTTCCATCCGCTCATGTGGTGTCACCATCTGGTCATGTGGTGTCACAGAAAATGCGGTGAGCGGGAGCCCTTCAAGTGAATCAGGGTGAGCCCAAAAGCTCCATCATTGGTTTCGCAGTCTTTGGTTGTGTTATTGTGAATGCCAACTAGCAAAAACCTCACTCACAAGAATACTGATGGTTGAGGTGCTGTACCATGCGAGTCTGGGAACCGTGGTGCCAAACAACACGTCAGGGAGTTCCTTATCGACTAAAGTCTGCGGTCAAAGGTCTGGGAGCCGGAAGGCGTGTTGGCCTCGTCAAAAGAAAGTATCCTGTCGTTCCAAATCCGGCTCATCCTCGATTTCTCCAAGGAGAAATGGAGGGGTGAGCCAGTTTCTCCATCCTGGCCAACTTTGCCCTGAATTTGCCCATTTGGGTCTTGGCCGTGCCAGGAATTCCAGGGTCCCGAAGCCGACGAAGCAGTCTGCGTCCCCATCAGACCAATGTGCCCCGATAGGAGGCTGCCAGCAACTCTCTGCGGGGAAACCCAATTTGGCTTGCCCCGGGGCATGTACTCCTTCTTTTAGCACCTTCGCCACTCTTCGCCATGCCATCCTCAATAAGGTGAAGGTCGAAGTCCTCCACCTCCACCTTCTTTGTGGGAGGCGTCCTCCAACCTGATCGCCGCCAGAGAGCAGACCGGTGACCTTCTCTTCGAACCCCAAGCTTTTGGGTGCCCCTGCCCAAACGAAACAAACATGAGATAGATTTTGCACTCAGCATAACAAACATTCATGGGGGGTGCGTGAAATTGAAGCCTGTTGCTGTGATCTGTGTTGCCGTGGCTAGGCTGGAGATGTTTTCTCTCTGCTCGTGGATGTGCCATTTGGGGTTAAGTTTATGGAGAGAGCCGTGGACCGCGACTTGTGCGTTCTGGATTCCTGATTCTCGCAGTCTGCCTATGACGACTACGAGTAACCTTCCAACCTGCCACACAGACACGTAAATGCACGTACTGTGCGTACGACTAGTGCATGTCCCGACAGCCCGTGGCCTGGAACAAGTGCCTCGCCAAGGATTGGCGGCCGCCCTCTACTGCGGCCTTCCGTGGCGACTGATGTTCGCTAGATTTTTGTTGTTTTGGCTGATGATGAAAAGGACCCTCGAGGACCTGAAAGCAGAGCGGAAGGAAGCCTCATCTGGCTCTCACTGCACGCATCGCCACGCCTTGATCAAGGCCCCGTAGGTGGCAGTGTCTGGTGCGATGCCTTCAAGCAAGGGCTTCGCTCTCTCGCCACCCATGGCGCGGCTCTGACATCCCACCTGCTTTTTCGAAGTCTGCGTGGAGATCGCAGGCTTTGTCCCAGAGCTTGGATTGGCTGTAGACTTTCAGCAGTGAGCTGTAGAGCGGCAGGCTGGGCCCGTACCTCCGAGTGGCGACCAAGCACTCCGAATCTCGCCTGAACCTCCTCTTGAACCCCTCGGGACACCTCGCCACACCGAAAGAGGCGAACTGCTCTGCAAGGCGGACAGCCTCGCTCGGTTCGAAGATGAATGGCTTGGCAGGGGACTCGAAAAAAAGGGCTTGGTGCTCATGAGATCTTCGTCATGACAGAAAGCGTGCGCCAAAAGAACAACTTAAACGTGGTAGTATTCCGTGTCAAGCTCTGAAGCTTCAAAAACACTTGGAGCTTCCAGGAGCCCACATGGTCTGACGACGCAGTGCCTGGGAAGTGGAACAGAGTGCCAGGAGGCCACACAGCAAGGCCTCCGACCACATCGGATTTCGGCTTTCATGGGGCTCCCTTGATTTCTTCATCTTTGGATTCGTATGAACTGGGCCTGGTGGGGTTTAGCAGGTCCAGTGCAGGCACTCAAGATCATCTTGTTGTGTATCATCGGCTTATTCCCCCGATTATTCGCGATCCTACCTAATGCGAACCGTGCAGCCTCCGAGGGGCAGAGGTTCGAGAGGAGTGTCTCGGCGGCCTGGACAACAAGATTGGGCTTTGGCCTCAAGGGTGTTGGCAGCCGAAGCTCAATATGCGGAACCTCGCGATGACCGGCTGCATCACCACAGTTGGCGAAGCCACGCAGCAGGGCCTCTAGCATCAGGATTGCACCACATTTCAGCAAGACTTGCCGTGTCGCAGCTTGTGGAGAGGTCCGTGCAGGCAGAGCACTGCAAAGTTGCCAAATCAAGCTCAAGGCACTCGGGCATCCAACTCTCGCAGCAGTTTTACCCCTGGCCAATCACATCACGGAAAGCTCGCTGACGAAAGGCGCCGCACGCCGCACTTGTGACATGCGAGTGGCCAAAGCATGGGTTGCTGTCACAACGGAGGTCCTCGCTATCTCTGCAAGAGGACCTCAAGACCTCAAGCACTGGGCGACCTGTGACTTGTGCTACAGTATGCGATGGCCCTCCTCATTGTGACAGCCTCTCCTCTTCACATCTTTCAGTGAAGTGGTCGGGAAGTTGGTTATGTTCTACGAGACGGACATCCGTACCCGGCACCGAATTTGGAACTGCCCGTGGTCACACCACAAGTTTCAACCCCAAACAACAAGTGACGCGTGAGGACTTGAGAGATCCTCTCGGATCCCAAAGCACTTCACCACCCCATGGCCCGTACTTTAGCACAAAGCCTTGGAATACTCAAAAGCAAGTCTTGGCTCTTAGGAACAAACTGAACGGGCAACCTTGATCTCCAACCGTGTGAAGCAATATACCCCGAGCCCGACAACTGGACCCTACTGTCTACTGTCGGGTCAAACCCTGCTGTGCTCACAGACGCTGGAACTGCTTGTTGCGGAAGGCATCCACGGCCGTGGAACGCCCTGTGCCTCGAGGGAAGAAGGAGGTGCCCGACCGCACAGGGGCACAGACACGAGGCTTCTTCAGCCGCAGCCATGATGAATCACAATATTCGTTGCAGAGGTGGTAAGCAAAGAAGTTCTGCATCATCCGCAAGCCACCATCGGTGGCCCCAAATTCCTTCTGGACAGAGAGCACCGCAGGGTCGGTGAGGATGTAATGCGTGTCGTAGCCACCCCCCTGCAGATCGCAAAGGAGACGCTGCCCCTCAGAGAAGTGGAATGAGAAGTGAGACAAAGCCTGCATCATGTTGTAGCCTTCATTCACCCAACCGCTGTTGGAGTTGAACTTTGCATATGTGCCGTCGATCAGAGGTTCCACGAGAACCTTGCGATCTCCGCATGTCCACACCTCGGGCTGGTTCAGGTACACTCTGCGTCGAGCAGGCTGGCCGCGCTGGCGGCAATGTTCCTCATTGTACTGGTTAAAGGCCTCGATGATGCGACCGGCTTCCGCAACGGCCTGAAGATCTTCTTCGATGAGGGACTCTGTCTTGGCGTCCTTGAAGACCTTGTAAACACCTTTCAGGTTCTTGCGCGGCCCCTTGGTGAAGGTCACCAGGAAGACGTCTCGGAAGGTGCCGCTCTCAAGGTACGTCCCTGAAGACACCTCAGGAACGCATCGCATGGCCCAGCCCCGATCGTTGGTTTCGAAAACCTGCTGCAACCTCTCTTTCAGCTCGGCTTTGGTACCACCAACCTTTCGGCGCATCTTCCGAAGCTCATCGCGCATTTCAAGCGCTGTCATGTCGTCAACACGCTTGCGCTTTACCGGGTCGTGGCGGGCTGCCGCCAACTTTCCCCAGCCGTAGCATTGGTTGCACTTCTCTTCAACATCAAACGGGAAACCGATTCCGCCGAAGGACAGGTTCAAGGTTCGACCGGTCTTTCCTTTTCCTTTGCAGCTTGTGCAAAGAACGGTCCAGCAGGCCCCACCACACTCCGGGCAAACGACCTTGAAATTGAAAACCTTGCCGCCCAGAGGAAATGGCTGCAGAATGGCGCCGCTGCCTTGACAGTGCTGACACTTCCTGGGATCATGCACTTCAGACATGGCGGCGACAAGGCGGAAGTCGTGAACGCTACGGAAACGCCACGCATCCCGTTGCAACATGTGTTGCGATGTGGCTGGTGATTGGTGGGGCATATGAAATCTTGGTCTACAGTGCTGTAGCATCGAGATAACAATGACCCGACCGCCATTTCCGCAAAGAGCCTCTCTTGTATGTGAGGAATGGCGCAAAGAACGTGCAATGCACATGCAACTTCACGATGAGCCCAGCGATGCGCATGTTTGCACGGAGGCCTCGCAGCAACCGGGCGGTAGATGCACGGCTTCTCGGCTTACTCGAGCGACCTCCGGGCGACTTGCAGACATGCAAGCATATGTAGTACGTACAGTGTTTTTCTGTAGTCTAGCAGTCTAGCAGTGCGACTTCCAAATCTCAGCTGCTTGCCGCTGGGAAACAAACTTTCTGATATCTCGCTCTCAAGCCGGAAAACTGACACAGAGCGCACAACGCTAAGTCGACGTCACAGCACAAGAAGACATTCCGACCCGACCTCCAGCAGAGCGGCACCGTCCCGAGCTAGGGAGGCACCCTGTGCCAGCACTGTAATCGAACGGATCGTCAGAGCGCCTTCCAATGCGATTTCTATCGTTTTCTGATGCATTCTAGCTCTTTCTAGCTGCATCTCTGGGTTCCTAAGACCCGCTGCAAGTCTTCTTCTCTCTCCTGCGCTTGTTGTGCCTCTATTGCTGCATGAAGCCGGACAGGCCAATCCTGAATCCTGCGATATGAATGGGAACCTCGTTACATGAGCTCATCAGCTTCGTGTGTTCCGCTCACAAGCCCTTGCCTTGAGGCAATCTCTTCAGCATCTTCGCAGCGCCCTGCAGGAAGTTCCCATGCGGAAGCGAGCCAAGCGAGCGAAGCGAGCAGCAGGCAGGCTCGCAGGCGAGGCTGCTCGGTCCTCGGGGCCGCGGCTTCGGCGGAGCAGCTCGAAGAGCGAGGCCTGGGCTGAGGCGCTGAGCAATACCGCAAGACCCCCCCCCATGTCCGGCGGGCCCCCCCGCCAAGTCCGACGGAGGGGGCGGAGACGCAGCTGATAGCAGGGCGCTCGCGGCCTCCCAGTACTGGGACTGAGCTCCATCGCTCAGGCAAACAGAACAGGCCTCGGCTGCCACGTTCCTGAGTGCACGGAAGCACGGGCCAACCCTTCGCGAAGAAACTCTTGCCCCATTTGGCTGTTCGCCTGTCGTCAAAACAAGGCACGCGTTCTGCTCGTCCAAGGCGGTCCGCAGGAGTTGGGGCAGAGGTTGAAGTGGGCTGTCAGACCTGCAATCGACTGAAAGCCCCCCGAGCATGGCCACAGGCAAAGCATGCAAAGCCCAATTTCCGCTTTCCGCAACCGGTGCTCGCCTCTGACTGGCCTTCGGCGTCCGACACTTGTCGGCTTCGCCTTTCGACGAGGATTTCATTTCGCCTCACAGCGAAAGTCTGCAGGCTGCTCGGCTGCTCTCTGCCCTCCGCCGGCGACCGGCCGGTTTCTGTAGGCTGAGGACACGGCTAAACGGACGGACCAGCTTCCGCTGGGCAATTCGGATGAGGAAAAAGCCGAAGCAGAAGCACAGCAACAGCACGGCTTCGACATATACCTTTCACGGCTTCACCCCTCACAGGGAGAGAGCCGAGCCAAGCAGGAGCCCGAAAAGGCACGTGCCCACGTGCAGTACCACCATGACCGCAAGAGCCCAACTGTCAGATTCCCCCGGTGACAGCGCCTCGTCCCAAACAGACAGCAGCAGCTGCTGCGTCGTGTACAGAGCCATGGAGTTTGCTACAGGGCACCTTGCGGGCAGAAGCGCAGCGCAACCGAGGCAACAGTGCTCATCCCAAAGGTTTGGTCTTTTGCAAACCCCGTACAACTGTGTACTCCGATTACTCTGTCTACAGGCTCCACCAGCTTATAACCTGCGAGTGCGACTATAGCGCAGTGCCACCGCTATGCCCACTCAGAGCTATCCTATGGTACCCCTCTCCGCTACCGCCTGAGGCTACCAGTTTGCTGGTGCATCCTTCCCATGAGCGTTGTAGTGCGGCTAGCAGGAGGACTTGGTATTTCTTGTCCTGCCGATGCCTTGCAGGAAGTTTCAAGAGGATGGCCTGCGAAGAGGGAGCAGACCACACGTGGAGGAAGCTACGTTGTTGGCAGATACCTCAGCTGCCCCCACCCTTTACTCTCAGGATTCAAACTGCGACAGGTGCCTGTGCCATCTGAGTCCTGAGCGGAAACAGGGCATCGATCCAACGAGTTGGAGCTTGAGCCCTGTCTGCGGCACAAAGCCTTGAATGATTTTACGACTTGGTCGCTTCCGAGGCATGACGGCCTCAAGACAAGCCGAAAAGACGGTACCAGCTATTCTGTGCAAGCCTGAACTCCGCCGCACCTCGCACACGTGCACGAACGCAAAGCCTCGTGGCTTGACACGCACCAACCTCAAAATGTCTACACAGATCAGCGAAACCGTCTGTAGCATCGCCTCAAGATCCTCAACTTGCCGACTGCACATGACCTGGCGGCTTTAGCACGAGGATATCGGTCGAAGCAGCAAATGGAACAAGACATGAGAAGGCGAAATTTTGCACAGGACTGCAGGATCAAGCGAAAGATTGGCCAACACAAAGGGCTGGTCTTTTCACACGTGCGACTCCAAGTGCTCCCATGCGTTCCCGCCATGCCTGCAGACGGTCTCAACCTGCTGAAAGCTGAAAGGGCTTGCCGCCAGCTCGCTTGGCCTTCCTCCGACGAAATGGCTTCCAAGTCAATTTCGCATGTGTTTCCATGGTCGCTTCTTGTCGGCTTTTGGCTTCTCCAGTAGAACGGACTTCGACGCAGCCTGTGCGGGTCAACCAGCGAACCAGCCGCTCGCTTCTTTGGCGGGGTGGCAGCTGGCGGCCTGTCACCACCGCTACGATTGTCATCGCTACCAAACAATCTGGTCTTGCGAAGCCTTAATGCTCGTTCCCTTGCGAGTATACTGTTACGACTCTTACGACTTGCTACTCGTACGATGAGCAGCACAACACCTATCAATACTGCTGCTGCAACGTCTGGCTGTTTTCGTTTTGTTGCTTCTGTGGCTTTGTTACATTCGGCAGCAAGGAGCTAATCCCGGAGCCTCGACCCTTGAAGGTTATGTGGGCTATAGGAAGTCATAGGGAAAATGCAAAGGGGGTGATGGAGGATATCAGGCCTTTTAACCACCGACCTGCCTAGAGAGCGTCATTGACGCAGTTGGTGGCGGCTCGCTTGCAGCTCTTGTAAGAAGTGGGTCCTGCATCAACATGCGGAGGCAGCTTCATGCCGGACCTCACTAGACCTGGCCACTCAGATTTCAAACTCCTTTCGACGCCTGCGACGGCAGTTGAAGCCACTAGAGTCCCTCTGCCCTCAGCCTGCGACAGACTTGGCATTGGGCCGGGGAAGCGGGTCGATGATGTCGACGTCTGAAAGAGCAATAAGCGCAGGCTTCTCTGAAACCCCGGTTCAGAGGAGCCTCGGGCAAGTAGTGGACCTTTCCAAGGATGACGAAACTTTTTGGGGGGGCTCTGCTTGCGCGCCTTTTACATGGCAGTCCACCGTCAACACAAGTCCGTAGACCCTTGAATCAATGCTTGGGCCTCGTAGTCACACCGCCCCGACACCAAATTCCATCAAGCTTGTCATACGGCGAGGGACAGCACTGAATACTGAAACACATACAAGCCACGGCAAAGCTATGAAGCTGTATCAGTGCAAGCACTCCCGCGGACCTTTGCCGCTTCCGCAGACGACTCTGCAGCAAGGGCATCAAGAACGAAGCCGCGGAGGCCCTGACGTCTGTAGGCTTTTTGCTTGGAAGAAGACGCCCAACTCTCTTCGAATGCTTCTGAACCCAGCAGTCCTTCAAGAAGCCTTGTGCCTCTGTCGACGACGGCATGGACGCAATCGCCTGCGAAGTCCCAGGAGGATGTCAAGTCGGAACAGTCACGTGATGCGAGCACCCGCCCGCTTACGCGCGCGCGCGGCTCAGCGCCTCCAGGTCCAGGTGTGTCGCGAGCACGGCACTCTCGAGGCGAAAGCGCAGCTCCAACCGTTTCCTCTCTCGACGACCCGTGACAAGAACTTGCAGTTCAGAATCCGGCACAGACACAGTGGCCTGTCCCTCACAAGCTTCGTGCTGCAGATGTCCGCACACTCTGTCGCAAAACGGTATAAACAGTAGCGAGTGAACAAACGATAGCTTGTGCACTGCACCAGAAATGTCGCAGACAAGTAAATCGCTCAAGTGTACAATGGCTTGCGAGGCTTTATTCACATCATTCTTCTTTGCTAGGGTCTGTCTGCCTCATGCAATTCGACTCGACTGAAAGGCACTGAAACTGTGGGCCCTGCCCCGCAGCACAGCTGCTGGCTGCTGTGGAGCAACCTTCCTCTGAAAGAATGCGCTCTGAACCGGCAACCACAGAACGACTATGCGTGACTAAAGGCTTGCGATTGTTCTGCACTAGCTGCACTGCAATTATCACACTTTGCGAACGACGGCAGTCTGCTCTTACAGCGCAGCATGACGCTGAAGAGGCTGCGTTGTTCTGCCAAGAGTCCTGACCAGACAAAGCCGACGAAAGCAGCTGCAGAAATGTCCTCCAGGCAAATTCTGCCATTCCTGCACATCAAGTCATGACAAGGCCAGGTGTGTTGTTTGGTGTCTGGTTGCTTTGGCGATTGGCGTTTAGATCGTGACGAGGTCTGGATAAGCTGAGAGCCGAGGTGCGACTTGGCGCATGCGCATTCAGAAGCCGCGACTCCCACATTCGCTCGAAAGAACTGAAGATGCCTAGACCTGAAATCCACACAGTGCCTGCGTCTTGCCGAAGCTTCCGCAGAGCCTTCTGCAGGAATCATGACGAGGGAATTCCGAAGCATTTGCTTCATTTGCAAAAGGCCGCAACTCGGACTCGCAACAGCTGCTGTATGCGCGGGGTGGAGAGTGCGCTGGAGTGCACAAGAAGTCCAAACGTTGCACAGACCATACTACATAGAATTCCATTACACTCTTGCAGACACTTGACACACTGAGTCACTGAGACCACATGCCGCAATGCCATAGAACATCATAGAACCCCGTGATATCTCCGCGGCCTCCATGCCGAGATCGGCCTTGTAGAGGCCGCTGAAATCAGTGCCGGCGAGTGAGATCTCCGGGCATTCGGCTTGGGGCGGCCGTCCGCTTAGGGCTTGCAAGGAGATTTAGTAAGGTGAGTTCACTGGGGCTCTTTTTGGGGTTTCTTGGGATGTTTGGCGATTTGCTGAGAGCTTGGGGTTTTTGAGGGTAGTAGGGCTTTGAGGTTTTGAGAGTTGGGGTTCATCAGGGCTTCAGGATCAATAACAAAAGACACGACTCGTTCGGAGCGCTTTCAAACAACGGTGGACACTGCATATCTGTGTATCCAGGTAGCTCTATACCGAGTTTTTCAATAGACTTACTCATACATGTACATATACATAAACATTATAGATGCTTGCGTGCCATGAATGTTTTCATGCATGTATGCCTGTATGTATGTATACATACGATGTACATATACACACACTTTTCTGTGAACATGCATCATTGCATGATGCCGGTTGGCACAGTCTGAGAAGGCACACAACATGGTTCGGAAGAAGCATTCCACGTCGGATCAGTTTGTAGAGCTTGAAGCTCACGTCTGGTCGCGTGCGGCGGGAATGCTCACCGCTAGGCTAGACTCCTGCACATTGCAACGAAGCCAAACCACCTCTTAAGCTGGGTACCACTGGACACGCCTGGATATGCCTACACTGCAGGGTCGACCCTCTGAATCTTCCCTTGCTACGGCGCCCCACGGCCTCCGAGCTTGCTCGGCGGCGAAGGAGCGCCAGGAGGGGCTCGCCGCCCCTTCGAGGAATTCTGATTCTAGACTTCTGGAGGCTGGGGCTTGGAGACAGGCTAACCTCTTGGTGTGGTGCTGAAAAGAAGTTCGAAGTGAACACTAGCCGTTCCTCCAGCCTCGAATCAGGAATGTGAACGACGGAGCCAACCTCAGAAGCACAGGCTCGCCGCTAACTTCTGTGGATCAAGATACCTACGACACTAGCACTGGCTCCGCCTCGGCGCAGCGGCCCGCAAGAGTCTCGGCAGACATTGCTGACCCCCCCCCCCTGCCTCCGAGAACAAGCTTGTCAGGGCCATCTCCAAGTCGGCACTTGCCGTGCAAGTGGCCTCAGGCCAAGTGAGCTCCTTAAAGGCACCTTCAGCCTTCAGAGTTAGCAGTTGGCAGTGGTCCTCTCCCAGAGCTGGGCATCCACGCACCATCGAGCCCAGCCACCGCATCGATTTGGGACGGAATCGGGCAGGAGAGGCTCATTTCCGAAGTCACACGCGTAGAGCTGCATCATAAGGTGACACATCGCAGCATCAACTGGAATAAAAGCAGCTACAATGTAGACGAGATTACCTGCATGGTCGTTCGATCGAAACAATGATTAGTCACGACTACTCTATCTACATCCCCTGAACATTGACTATGGTCTCTGAATACTCTTAAGCACCTGCTGATGATAGGGGCTGCGACGATGAACAAGACACACGAAATCCCAGCCAATGCATCAATTCTGAGATTCTGCGCCACAGGGAGAAGTGCACCACTCGGTTCATTTTGCCATTGGTCGGCGGGTCTGAGCTGACGGTGCAGCTGCAGCAGGAAGCCACACACGGTCGTCACACGGTTACTGGTGGTAATTGTACTGGCAGTTCATCTCTTGTGCTGACTGGACTTCCAGCATCTTCTGAGAAGACGGACACACAGACGGGCAGGCTAAGCGAGCACCTCAGGTGGAAGGGTGCATCTTTGGTCATCTTGAGTCTCAGTGCAACATGTGCCAGTGCTTGCTCAGCGTCCTAGCTTGAGGCATCTCATACACACCACTCCACTCGTCCTGGGAATCCTGTCGCTAGCCGTGCCGTGTCGAAGTGAAAAACCATCCGCAAGAGAAGCACCGAGACTCGCCAAAGCGACAAAAGCAGCTGCTGTCCTTCTAACGCACATCCCCCTGAACCAAATCACGCCACACGAGAAGGCGGCTTGCAAGCTACACTTCTTGGAATATCTGAAAAGACATCGTGGTAGAAGTTCCCATGGCCAACAACTTCAAAGATGTGGACGCGAACACCATCGAACACCCTTGCAAGCCCAATTTATTCGCTTTTGGACATTTTGGTTCTTCCCGTGCTTTCATCCTGCACTCGTATTTCCAAAAGAATATTCCAACCGGAGAGCATCCGGCGAAGCCTGGGATCTCCAAAAGGCTCAGATTGCACCGGCCACGACACTACGACACCCCTCGGATCCTCGGATCAGTTCTTGAAGGATCTGAGCCAAAAGCGAATACCCAGCTTCCGAGTGCTGAGTCCGCACAAGGGGCTGCAGTCGAACACGGCTTTTGGGTTCTGACCGCTGCCTTACACGGCTCAGAAGTAAGACGCGGCTACTGCTGAGCTCCACGCCGTAAGAAAATTCACACTTGGAGATTCGGCGATTATCGCCGGGGTTCCTTCACAACATCGCATCGCCATGAGGTCGAAGAGGGTCTTGTGCATCCTATGTACCACGACTTTTCCCCATTCCAGAACCCGTCTCTGTCGCAAACATCTATGCATCTTTACAAGGCAACGCCCATCCACAACAAAGGGGAGGCGTAGAAGCCTTGCTTTCCAAGCCCAGGGCATCTGAACAAAAGGGCCCCGGGACTAGTCTGCTAATGTGCTTGCATCCACAGCTAAATAGCAAAAACACGGGCCATGCTACGAATGAGCCACGTCCCAATGAGTGGCCCCGCGGTGTACTGGGAGCCATGATGACCCTTGTATCACCACAGATATTGCAGCGCAGCGAGCTTTGGTTCGGATGTTGTTCAGAATTGTGTTGTTATGATGATTGACTACCATGCTGCGATTCCGAGTCTTCATGTCAACACTACACAATCCGCTTCTCATGCTGTTGCTAATATAGTTGCTTCTCTCGATGTGTTGACGCTAGATACTATTCGCGCTGAAACGACCAGTGTTGTGATTATGATGGCCACCTAACACTTATATTGGTTCGGGCATGGATTCATTGGCAGTGCAGTTGCATTGCAAATGCTAATGCATTGTGGCATGAACTTTAGCTGCATGTTCTGCTGCTTTGTTGCGACTGATGTGGTTGTTGTGGTTGTTGCCGTCCTTTGCTCGATTCAGTCTGGACTCTTGGGCACGGTTACTGGAGTCTCCAATGCGAGGCTTCAAGCGGACTTCCAGCTTCCGCGGGCGGCCCTGATCAGTCCGTTGTTTTGGGCGCCTCGTTCGCCGCGGCTTTGGTCCTTCCTTGTTTTTGCTGAAAGCCTGAGGTCCCACGTGATGTAAGGGTTTGTCTCCGTCGCCAAGGCCTCCGCCTGCCGAGGCCGGTTTCCCTTATCGGCTGCTCCCCTAATACGACTCTGCTGCTGCTGGTTTCGTAGTCTCGCGGCTTTCCACGATTACTGCCATTGCGCTGCAGGCTTTTTGTGATGCTCGTTTGCTCCGCTGTTCCACGTAAAATTGTTCCAGGTACTGCTTGAGTTCCTCAGAGTTGCAGAAGTTGCAGCCCAGTGTGGCTCGCAGTATAATCCAGATCCACAACATACCTATGCAAGTTTTTGTGTGTCATTAGTTATCATGTTAAGTGACAACACTACTGGTGCAATCTGCAGAAAGCACCTGTCCGCTGCACGTGGCTCACTCTGCAGTTGAAGGATACAGGCACATCTCCGTCACCATACTTCCAACGACGCAAAACGTGTCACTGAGGCTGATATTCCCAGGAATCCCACAAGCCGCGGGAAACCTGGGCATACTGTCTTCGAGTGCTGCCTAAAACGGTTGCACTTTGATGAGATGGCGCAGCAGCCTGATTCCCGAAAATACTTCTCATCATGTTCGAGGGCTTTGAACCCCGCTGAATTGTTAGGAACGTCTTTATATCGTCGCTTGGCCTCGCTACTGCGAGCATTTGGCAACAACATGCAGTCGATCGAGGGAGGCACGAATCGAATCAACTTGCCGGGCAACTTGTCTCTTGAATCCTCGCTCTTCGTCTCGAGTCATGATGCGCTGGGAGTCCGGGTCTGGGATCAAGAGCTTCTGATCCATTTCTGACTGACCGAAGATCCGCAGCTCCCCGGCAAGATGAACTTCAGCGACACTACATTCACTACATCGTGCTCGTTCAGCGTAGGTCGCGATCCCTACTTCGAATCTTGAAGGTGATGCGAGCTCCCAGTCCTTGGCTCAGCTTGAATCTCAGCATGCAACCGCCCCTCCACGATTCTTCAGCAACGAGTACGAATCAGTGACAGAGGCAGCAGCCATATCAATATCAGCAGCAATAGCATGACAGATCATGTAGTCGTAGCATCCCGTTTGTTGTTGCTGCTGAGAACACAATATGTTGCAGCACTAGCAAGCGTCTAGAGTCTAGAGTATTCAGCTGTTGCTCCTATGACTTTAGGATTCTGATATGGAAATCTGACAGACACATGAAACAAGAGCTCTTTATTCACGTGGCAATCAAAACCGTCAGCACACTGATGCTCCAAAAGCAATGGTGGTGCTATGGTGACTATATTGACAGTGCTATCAGTGCGCAATGCGCATGATGCAAATGCCAAGCATAGCCAAGAACTGCAATCATATTGATAAGCACCCCGCCATACTCACTGATCACAACAGCCACAGTACGGCTTTGACCGAGGTGAGAATACCTGGCCACCTGTGCCACGTTTGAGTCGAGCATCTCTTTGAGATCACGCAAGGTCGTGGAGTTCCACACTCCGGAAAGCAGATCGAGGACCTCCGGAAGCAGCTGGTGCTCTTTCGTCTGATACATAGCGCATTATATGCCCATCTTCCCCATCCCATGCTATAAGACGAGCGACCGTGCGGTGGGAGCCCAACATGTCTGCTTCGGCAGCCAAGTCATATGCCGTCCTTCCACGAGACGTTGTCACTTCGCGGTCGACGCCAAACCGCAGGAGCTCACGGACCATCAAGTGATGACCTGGATCACAGAGGCGTGCGAGTCCGTGCGAGGAGCTAGCGTGTAAAGGCTAAGTCTGGTTCAGTCAAGGGTCCCAGCTTTGCTGCATGGTGGATGGGGTAGATGGTCTCCGTGCGGAAGAAGGATGAACGCATAGATTTGGGCTGATTGGCATCTTGGAAACCATGCTTGGCCAAGTACTCCCGAACCATCTGTGCGAATGGACAGCACAGCCGACAAAGATTGCAGTTGAAACAACCAGCAGATTGCGAGGAAGAAGTGGGACTTGGGAGGCACAGGCTGGGCCGAAAACTCTACTTTTGAATGCAGGGCTGCTGTTGGTCAGATATGGTCTGATGCTTCTCTCTTTAGCAAGCACATGACATCTGCACTCAGACAGAGGCATCGTCGCCATTCAAAAAACCTGACAAACACATCACAGAGCATCGCAGCAGGTGAGCATCAGCAGCATCAAGACCACCACCCTCGTTTCTCACCCAAGAACCCGAGACTCAAAAAAGTAGCCCAGAACGGCCAGTAAGCGGCAGAGAAGCCTGCCCTGCCCCCACCACCCAGAAAGAGGCAGAGAGAAAACATGGAGATGTCTGTGAGAGAAGAGCATGCCACACACGACCTTCAAGACTTGCAAGCGGCCTGCCGCCGGTCCTCCCGCAGTCGGCAGCGTCGGATCGCACTCGCGTTGCTAATGACAGGGAACACCAAATCTTCCTCTGAGGGCTCCCTCTCGGCTTCCTTCTCGTCCTCGTCTAGGAAGTCCATTAGCTCCTCATCGGGACAATCCGTCGACGTGGGGGTCGCGGCGGCCAAGATGTCCAACTTCTCCAGCTTGCCTAGCGCGGCATTCAGCTCTTCCTCGTCAAAGGCGAAGCCTTAGCTGCAGAGACGGCCTAGGCCTTAACTGAAAAAGCTGAGGCCTCGGGCCTCAGTCCTTCCGTCATCCCGTGCCACGGGACCATCACATCCATCACCGTCCAAGCTCACCTCCGGCCGCACGTTCTGCACCTTCGAGAAATCCGAAAAAGGCATGGCTACGCTTCTATACAGGCAGCCACTACGGATCAGATCACTGAAAGCCAGTGCTGCGGAGAACGGATGATCACGCCTATGTCCTGGGTGCACGATGCCTCTGTTATCGTAAACCTTTGGCTGCGTCAGCTTCCGGCCGCGCACTGACTGTGGGTCGGAGCAGCAGGTCTCGCGTGAAGCACTGTTTCTCCCTCGCTTACCGATGCACACTTCGTCGCGCATGTCGGCAAAGTAGGAGCAGCATGAGAGCCTGGAAAAGGGAAAAACACTCACCTTAAATAATGGCCTAATGCCACACGCTGTGCAGGCCAGGCGCCGCAAAGGAGGAGCCAGCAAGGACCATTGGCCAGTGCGGCGACGAGTTACCAGGTACCTTTGGCCCCGGCAGGTGCTCCACAAGCTCGCCATCGCCATCCTGGCAAAAGGCTCAACTCAGGGCTTTTGCTCCGGCAGCTCCCGCAGCTCTGGGCTCCAGCCTTAGGCTCTTTGCTCTCCAGCGGAGCACCACGTAGGTAAAGAAAGTCAGCTGGAAGGAACCTTGGATCTGCAGATTGCAGCTTTGCAGGGAGGCCCAGCGAGGCCCAGCGAGGCGTGAGGTGAAGCGTCCCCCTCTGAAATGTCAGGCCAAGTGGCTTAAGTGCATCGAGTGGACACTGCCTTATGGCAACGAAGCACTTGCACACTTGTTGGTCATCTCTAAACACGAAGCGCACGACGAACGAGCTCTACGAGATGCTGTGATTCGGACTTCGCTGATCCCAAGTCCCGCGGTCCCACAGCTTTGCACCACGAGAGCCACATGCAAAAAATGCTTTCCTACGAAGCGGCAGCGGGCAGAACAGGAAAGGCCTGCAGAACCTTTCGTCTTAGAGGCCGCGGATGTCCTGCAGCGCCCTTGCCGATGCCGCCGCCAAAAGCCATGAAATGCGTGGCTGGCTGCCTGCAGTCAACGACCTCACCGTCTCCGCGTACGTAATCGCGTTTGGCAAAGACCCGCTTCTTTCAGAAAGACGGCTGAAAAACTCAAGCGCCCCTTCCCATTGGTCTCCACAGGCCGTGATCGCTGCATTCCACGTGATCAGGTTGCACTGGAAGCCGTGGGATTCAATCTGCTGCAGCAGCGCAGCCACGAGAGCTGCAGCGCCTGCAGCGCCTGCAGCGGGGCCGCGAGGGCCGGGGCCCTTTCGGGGCACCGCTGCCAGGGCCGCGAGGGCCGCGAGGGCCGCGTTGTACGTGATCAGGTCGGGCTGCAGGCGGCTGCAACGGGCGTGCTCTAGCAGCAAGATGGCAAGCTGCCATTCCCGAGCCTTCTCACAAGTGCTGATGGCCGCATTGCAGATTACGGTGTTCAGCTGCACGGCCGCCCCTCGCAGCTGCGTCAGAAGGCCCATGGCCGGCTCCCATCGACCCCCTCCCTCACATGAGCTGATGCCGGCACCGTAGCTCATGCTTCCCCCATGCAGGGCATCCAGAAGGCAGAAGGCCTTCTCCCACTCTTCACCGCGAGAATTCGCATCGATGCCTGCCATGCGCATCACCGAATCGTCGGCTGCAGCTTGGCCTACCGCCAGCTGGACCAATGCCACCTCCCACTGCGAGCCACCGCTGCAAGCACTCACTGCCAAGGTGTAGCTCACAGCATTCGCACGCAGCCCTTCCTCCCAAAGCGCTCGCAAAAGCCTCAAAGCAAGCTTCCACTGCCTGCCTCGGACGCAGGCAGCCACGGCTGCATTGCAGGTGATCACGTCCTTCTGCAGCCGGCGAGCATTCAGTTCCACAAGCAGGTCCAAGCTCTTCTGCCACTCCGCCGCTTTCGCACAGGCACTAATGGCCGCATTGAAGATGATGCGGTTCGCGTTTTCGATAAATTGCAAGGCTCTCTGCCATTGCCCCCCGCGCTCCATCGACGTGACGACTGCTCCTTGGCACACCAGGCTTCCTCGCACTGTCGCAGCCCGCATGTTCTGCAAAAGACTGGCCGAATGCACCCAGGTCTCTCCCCTCAGACATGCCAAGCAGTTGGTGTACGTAAATACATCAGCATAGTGTTCGAGCACGGGCGAGACTGTCCCTCTAAGAAGGCTCAGGGCACCCTCCCAAGCATCATCGCAGGTGCTGCAAGCACTGATCACGGTGTTCAGAGTCTGGGGCTCCGCAGTCATAGCCCCGTGAAGAAGGCCTTCCAACGTGTTGACAGCCTGCTGCCACTTCATGCCCTTGCTTTGCGCTTGAAGAGCAGTGTTGCAAGAACTTATACTCTGTTGCAGGCTGTTGTTGACCAGGGCCGACATGGCCACTACTGCGAAAAGCCATTGCTGTGCTCGTCCACAACTGTTGCCAGCAGTGTTGCAAGTGATCACACTCCACCCAATGCTCTTCTGAAGCAGCTGCACAGCCAAGGAGAGGGCCCGGCGCCAGAGCGCTTCGGAAGCGAAGGCTTTGACCACGGAGTTGTAATTGATCACCCGCGCGCGGAGCTTCGCAGCCCGGATCTCGGACACTTGCCAAAGAGCCTCCGGCCATGTCGCAACCTTGGGCATCTGGATCATTGTATCGGTATTCTGCGATCCGACCCCAAGTGCCGGTGGCCTCCAAATCTGTGAAGCTTGCAGGACCCGTCATGGGGTCTGAGTTTCACGGTCCTCTTCAACCGTGACCCGATGGCCTGCTCCTACAGCCCTGCTTTGAGCCACACATGAACTCCCGAGCCCACTGATTCCAAGCACGCGCTCCACGCTTCAACAAGGGCCGAAAAAATCTGGTGACTTGCCCCCCTGTCCCTTCACTGCTGCAGCGGAGCCCCATCTGCTCCCCCAGTTTCCACGTAACTTCGGCCAGCATGTGCATGCCAGCCTTAATACGACAGAGCTCGTGTTGCTTGAATGCAAGAGCTGGCTTGGGACCCCGACAAGCTTGGCATTGCCATTGGAGTCGCCGTTGGTGACTGCCCAGACCAGGATCCAGCAGCCAAATGAAGGTTTATGCTCAGACTATGCAGCAAGACATGGACTTGCGTGTCTGTGTAGGACCTCTCTACAGACACTTTAGAACTCTAGGGAGCTGCAACGAGCGTCTGCAGCCCAAAATCTCTCAAATGCCGCTGCCCAAACCGTGAAATCGGAATCTCTGTGCCACCTCGGCCTCGGGATGAGTGAATTATGCTTGCAATACCTCAGCTCCCACGAGACCACAGGGCAGCCGCTCTTGACAACCTCGCTTGGCATATGTCAGCCAGGCGGCCCAGCTCTGTGGCGTACTTGTAGAGTCGCCGAGTAATGCGATTCGCTACCTTCTCGAGATTGTCACATCAGATCCAAACCGAACCCGAGCCCCACAAGGTGGCCATCGAAAGCGCTCTGTACTTTCTGAAACACTTATAGGCACGACAAGTGCCTTGAGCATACACGCATCGTTGCTCGGCAAGTCCGCAGCGGGCAGCAGCGACACGTCGCGCTGCACAGAGACGAGGATCCAAATGTCCTTCAAAAGCATGCCAGGACTCTGCGACGCGGTTGCCCTGAATCAACCTGCCTCACCGGTGGCACTATCAGTCGCAATGACGAGGCCACGCATTGAGAGGAGGTTGAGAAAGAACTCACCTGTTGCCAATGAAAAGAAGAAAGCGGTTGCATTCTGCGGACCAAGGGCAAACCTTTCAATTCCAATCCTGTTCCAGTAGGCTTCTATAAGAGTGCAATATGAACACAGGAAGGGAGCGGCAGAAGTGCAAACGACTGACTTCTCCTAGGGCAACAAGTGCCCTTGTTGAAGGCACCAGATGCATCAGCACGGGCAAGACTAGACAACACTAGCCACCTTTTTCTAAACCCTCCTGCCAGCCAGCTATGATAATTCAAGATGAGAAAGGTTCAAGGAGGATTAGGATCTTCGGGTTTGGGGTTGGTAGTTGAAGCATCGGCATTACAGAAATCCGGTGGGTATGACCCACCAACTATTCTCTCACAAACACCGGTGATCGCTGCCGTACGCGACGTGCCAAGGAAGCTCGGATCAGAAACTCGCCTTTTTTGCCACGACTTCTTGCAACGCAAGTAAGGTACTTGCACAACACACTGCTTCGTGCAACCCAGCAAGTGAACCAAGGAAGCGTACCGAGTTGACTCTCTCAGGCTCCTATCCCACTGTCGGAAATCAACACTGCTACACAAAGCATGTGGACTTGTGATCAATGTGGCAACCTCGTGTTGATTTGGAAGGGTCCCGACATTCGACTATTTTTGCATTTGCGAGATTCGATTTGCTGCCGGGCTGACCGCGGCACTGCTGGATTCTGGATGCTTGGCAACCGAAGAGCATCAGGACTTGAAAGGTTTATTTTTCATTACGCAAGGTTGACGGCGCGACGTTGAAAGGTTGGCCGCCGAGATGTATGTGCTGAGGGTCTGAGTGCGGATGGTAGTAATCGCGTCCGACTTAGACTGGCCTTCTGACACGTGTTCCGCATTGAGATGCATTGAGGTTGCGAATCACGCGGTCACTGCAGTACGTGTTGCATTCTGGGCCTGACACGGCCTCCGCCTGACACACCCTAGTTGAACCTGGCTGGGCTAATGTCCGTTGCAACATGTCCAAAGCATGTGGTACAGGTCTCTCGCAGCACCAGATTTGTAAAGCTGAGCAAACTGTGCGGGAGCACTCTCCTACTTGTCCCGCGCCTGATTTGCGTCGGTTGACGAGGATCGAGGTGAAGGGCCTCGGCTTGCAAAGCCGCAGACGACGAGGCACAGCCATGAGGTCTCCCCCTCTTCTTGGATTCCTTGTTAACTTGGAAGAATACGATGGTGGCGCTAAGAACACTGGGGATGAAATATCCCATGAAATCTCGCCTCTAGGCTCGGGATAGCAGAGGGAAACTTGGCATGAAAATTCGGGGCTCAGATTGTACATGCAACACGTCGTTGCACAGGGGACCTTCACCGTAAGTCCCAAGTCTCGCATGGAATCCGACCACCTTCGATGCTGTGGGTTCGACAGAAAGTTCAATGCACGTGTACCGGCTGTCAGTTCTGAGGCTTGACCACCTTGTGGTCTCGCGCTATCATTTGCGGCTTCGTCCTGCTACTTCCATCCCTCTTTTTTGGCCAAGGAGCGCCCCGGTCTCACAAGCCAGGCGCAACGCCGCCCCGGCATCGTTCGGACAGCCAGAGTTGAGGAAACGGCAATTCTCACCTGTTTTGAAACTGGCGTTTAGACCTTTAGACACTTTAGACTTCATTTATTGTGAGCTGGTCAGTTCTGCACACGCCAAATGCCATGCCGTGTCACCGACCGACTCCTCTGGTGAATAGCCGGTGAGTCGGTGAAACTCCTCGGAGACCGCCTCAGACGCCAGCCAAAGCGAGAGAACAAGCTCTACCATCGACAGGCCATCTCTCCCCTCCAAGCCACTTCATTTTTTTGCAAAAAATCCCCTCCAAGCCCCTTCTTACGAGGCTCGATAAGCTCGAAGTCCAGACCAGTCGGGTCCGCGATCGCGACCTCGGTCCAAATCCTTCTCGGTCGTGCACTTCAGTTTGCGCAGCCGCTGCATCCTTTCGACATTGACATGCACAATCAAGACTCTCCGTGCCAGGTCGCGCTGAAGTCGCACTCGGCCACCGCGGCACAGATCGCTTTGGATATCAGGTCGTCAGTCTCGTCCTCCTGTTGTAGCAGCAACAACAACGCTGTAATGATGCTCCATGCACACGTGGTTTTAGGGCCAAATGTGACTTTACTGCTACTCATATGCTACTGAAGTTTACAAGCGAGCTTCAGCTTTGAACAGCGGTGAAAAGCTAGCTGCAGCTAGCTTCGATGCAGTAGGTATCGGGGATAGTCTGAGTCGGCCTAAATTCGGCGCAACCGGCGCGGCAGAACCCAATTCCAAGCTAAATATGTAGCCGGTCATCCTGAAGCAGTGTTTCAAGGACGGTATAGTCATGTTTTGGAAGCAAGATTTCGGTCGAACCCCTAGAAATGCGAAACATATTGAATATCTTGGGCCTCAACAGGAGACACGCCGGGCAGCGGGACGATGGCTACGAGTTGACTTTACCCCCATCCACGTCGTACTGCTGACATCACTACGTCAAGTAGCAATCACCATGCTGTTCTCGGTAATGCACGGAATCCTCCCTCCACCCTTCCCGACACAGACGGCCATACATGCTGCATAACGACTTGCACAGCGTTGCTGGATCCATGCCGGCCGACGACCGACAAGGCTGACGTGACGTGGAAGGTTACAAACCCGTGCACCTTGGTTGGCTGAGCCACATCCCATTCGTGGCTTTGTGATTCTTCAGGCATGCTTGATCCAGCGCGACAACCTTTTGAGTCTGGCAGCTCCCCCTGCCCTTCTCAAGGGCTCCTGCTTCTCCTCCTGCGATTCCTCATTGATGGTCTGGTTGAGGTTCGCCAAGCCCAGGCCCTCAAAGCCATCGAAGGCCATCTGCAAGGTGCAGGCAACGGCAACGGCAGTGGCAGCTCAGAACCCCAGAAATGGCCTGAGGGCGACTCGGATTTGGGCACGACGACTGCCTCCCGAACTGGCCTGAAGGCTGCGGATGCGGTTGTGTCCCGGCAGGCCGGTCGACCGGCGGCCGGGTCGTCCGGGCCTTGTCTCGGGTCCTGTGCCTTCGGCCTCTGGCTCATCACGGGCTCCGTGCATTTCCGCACCCAGAAGTCCCCCTGCCTCGGCTGCTCGAGGCTTCCTAAGCAGTCTCGAGGATGAAAGCCTCACCTTGTAGCAAAGTCTGTGAACTGCCGCGACATGAGCTCCTGCGAATGCAACGCGGCAAAGACTGCTTGTTCTGCAGCCTGTGTAGTGCGGCGTAGCACAACAAGTTTTCAGAGCATTCCGAACGCCACGGGGTCTCCAGCGCTGCAGCATCGCTGAACTCCGTGCACTGGCGGCTTAGGGAAGCGGCCGAGGAGAACTCGGAGCTCGCGTCCTGCGATGGAGTGCTCGGAGACCGAACAGGTATCAATGATGGAAGGACAGCTCCCGACGTATCCCTTTCTTCCTGTCTTCCTTGCTTCCCGCTTGCCGTTCGCTTTTGACGTTGCTTCGGTGACGCTGTTGTCTAAACTGATCCTTGTGTAGCTGTGCTGAATGTTGAAGGTGGCCATGCAAAGCTTTGCCGCCAGTCATCAGGCCGTTCAGCCCTTTAAGCCTCTAAACCCGACTGCCGTCGCCCGCGAAGCGCCTCCGATGGCGCCGAGACCTGCCGAGGACAGGAGCCTGCAGCCAGGCTGTCCTCAGCGAGTCGTGGCACAAGCGCTTGCGATGGGGCTTTTTAGGCATAGGCTGCGCGGAGAGGGGAAACACAGCTGGCGAGGCGGGTTCCAGGCGTTCCGCATGCGACCACAACCGCATCAGCAAACAGGGAAACTGCTGACGCAGATTGAAACGACAGCCTGGCTGTGCCAGTTGTCGTGACTTGGGATCATGATGTTCGCCACATTGAAACGACAAGGGTTCCACGTCTGATCTGCCACATTGGAACCGGTGTTACTGGCTTGGGGATTGTGGATGGATTATGACGGGGCTTGGAGGTCATAGATGGCCATACGACTTATGGGACTGCTTTCCGAGACGGCTGTCCTCGGGGATGCAGTCCATCATGGCATCGACACGATTGGCTGCTCAAGGCAGATGGCGCGATGGCCGATTGCCGCCTCTGTGTAGATGTGTGCTGCAGGATGGCCTGTCTAGCTTGTGCTTAGGGTGATGCTATCAAGAAGTTTTGGCTGCATGAGTTTCAGACTAGACTCAGAATGATGCAGATGCTCTCGAAACCAGCTTGCATAATCAGAAGTCACTAAGCTTGACGACAACAACTGTTAATCTTGCCCTGGCTGAAACTACTGCTCAACATGTGTTGGTGATAGGCAATGACCACCTGAACCCAAAGCTGCCAAAACAAGAGAAGCAGTCAACAAGACCTTGACATCAAGAGCATGTGAGCCACATACTACCAGGTCCCAAGCTGCTACAAGCTTCTTTCGCCACTCGGGATTGCAGAGGTATGTAGTGCTGAAGCCTGAGCATGCTCGCTTGATTTTGGCTGTACAGGATGTTCGCTTTGCGAACTCTGCAAGAGGATCACGCAGACTTCCTCTCAATGCGACGAAGTTCCTTCGGTCTCCAAGCCGGACAGTCGTTGCCTTGGAGAGTCGCAAAGAGCTGTGCACTTCGTCCCTGCAACACATCCCTAACAGCTTCGGAAGCGCACGCCGAGACTGGCACTGAGCAAAAAACCCACAGCAAAATGCAGCAAGGTCAGCAAAAAGCCGTGTCAAACTCGCGATGCTCGAGGCTTGCCCGAGACGCTTCAACGGGCACCACAAGATCTGTCAACAAATCTCAACAACACCTCTGCCTCTGCGTTAGGACTAAATCCACCAAGCTGGCGGTGGGCAAGTGCCCCTTGCGACGTGCATTTGTCGTTGTAATCATCGCAAGACATCCGAGCTGCCTCCTGCACGGTCTTTCTACCTTCCTCGCGTGCCCCGTCACACTACACTCATCGTTGCGGGTCCTGAAAAATCTGTCATGGCTCTGCCCCCCGTTCACGTCCTAGCTTAGCTGGCTTAGCTTTGCTGCTTGCGGGGGGGTCCGCATGCATGGTATTCCGTCTCAGTGAAGCTCCCCTGCATTAACATATCTGGACGCAGACCTCACAAAGCCCTCCTGCACTGCATTCTGCCGGGCAACCCCAGCGGAGCATGCCCAGAGAAACGACAGCAGGCAGACCACTTTCCAGAAGTCGGCGGAGGGACTCTGTGTCAGCTCCGTCAGGTGGTGTGCCAGCCATCATTGAGCCTGCCAGACAGCACACCCCTGCGGAGCCCTGCACAGAGCTAAAGAGAAGACTTCGGCCAGGGTACAGTTGCCAGTGGATTCCAGAAGGAGGTGGCTCTCGTTTGGAAGCATAGCCACTACCGTCACAGTAGCTTCGAGTGTGCCAGCTTGTGTTGACCAGCGCTCTGACCAATCCGACCAGCCGCCTCGGACAGGGAAGAACTTCGATTGAAGGCACAGCTCACAGCTCCTTCAGCCTTAAGACCCACAGGGCTGTGCATGTCACACCTGAGATCATCTCGAGGTTAAGTCGTGCTTCACCCTCGAGGAAACAAAGCTGCAGTGCCATCTGCAAAGGGTCTGCAGCTGGACCATCGGCCCACTCAAAAGCCAAGGGTGCAGTCCAAATCTCTGTCCTTTCTGGCCTTTCTCCCTCCTCTGCTTCCTCCGCCAGCAGTGGCTGTTGTCTCAGGACCGCCGCGAAGAGCAGTCTGTTTTCTGGCTTGGCTGCTCGAACAGCAGCCAAAGCACACAACAAAGCTTCCCTGGACAAGGCGGGCCAGTGGTCCTCCTCCGTAGGGACCCAGCCTGCGAGCTGACCTGCCTTTTCACGCCGGCGTAGCAGTTTCAAGGTGCCGAACCTCGCCAAGGCCTCCTCAAGCCATTTTTGGCCCAAGCTCGCCAAGGGGAAAGCGAACTGCACAGGCAGGCAGCTCAGAGACCGCGTCAGCTCCGAGATCCTCGCCGTTCTTTCCGCGACCGGAGAGAGCAGCACGTTCACAGCAGGGGAGACGTGCGCAAGCCGTCGGAGATCTCGATGAGCGGCCAGCGCGGCCACTGCCCAGAGCGCATCTCCCAATGCCGGCAGCAGGGCCCCAGAAGCACCCTGCATTGCTGCTGCCTACTAGTGTGTTCAATCAAAAAATACACGAAGTCATGTCCTGTCATGCTGTGCTGCGCTGTCGAGCGCCACTTGCTCCGAAGTCTGTTGGATCTTTTGTACGTTGGTGCTCAAGGAAATCTCCTTTTCGGCGAAGTCCAGCCAGTTGAATGGTCACCATGCAAGAGCTACATGTATGCTGCATGCAGATACCAAGCAACCGAACGGCCGTTGTCGGGCTTCTGTTTTGCGTAGGACTCAGATACTGCAGGCTGACATGCTAATGCCTACTGGCATTCATGCCAGGCAGACAGCGGAAGGCAGCCATTGAAGCTGAGAACCTGAATTGAGCGTGAGAGCTCTGAAGAAACACCGATGAGCAGTGAGAGACATGCTTCGGAATGCCCGGAAAATGCGGTGGCATTCTTGAGGATCCCTTTGGATTCCCTCTTTGAGATTTGTCTGCGTAGACTGCTTCCCTTTGCAGCTTTTGGCACCAATGGGGTCACTAGGCGAAGGCCACCCAAGCCCATCCTCCCAGCGACTTCAGCCTCTGCAAGGCACCCACACCTTCACAAAGGCTCCTGCAGGGTTCGGTCTGTGGGTCGAGACGTGCAGCCCTCTTGGCCTGGCCTCTCTGTTCTTGTGCTTCGTCAGGGCATAAGGGGCTGTTGCTCTCTCTCTCTCTCTCTCTTTCTTTCTGCTGGGCTTAGGGGTCACCATTGTGACCCTAAGGCTTTCAGCCCGCCCGTCCACCCTCTGTGTTATTGAGGGGACGGCTTTGGGGTGTCACTGACCGCTGTACTTGTTACACAGTCTGCCCCGAACTTCCAAGCTGCACACCCCCTCCCCGAACACTAACCGACCCCCAACCTGCCTCGTCTCCGCGCCCCTATGGCAACCGTCGGAGGTGTGCAGTGCAAGAACTTCGAAGCACGCCCATGCAGTTGCACTGGAGCCCCCTTTCACAAAACACAACAACCTTCTCATACAACCCCTCAGAAACTCACTGATATTCACTCTGAGGCTCCCCCGTGCAGTGCATTTCGGTCAGGGCAAAGGTTAGACATCGTTGCAGCTGTCCCCCCAAACAACTGTTACCTACCGTGCCTACCTGTGGTGACTTCCCCTTGCTGCAACTTGTCGTGTTTGTTTTGCTACTGGGGTCTCGGCTCGGGCCTGCTTACAAAACACACCGTTCCTCGCCACGTGCACTGGCAACTTAAGACAACACTTCGGCTCCTAGAGCTTCCTCCCCCCGTGTCTGGTGTGAGAACTATTCGGGGTCCACTTCGCAGCCTCATACACAGCAAAACAGCAGCCTACCACAAGACTAGTTAGGTTTACCATGGGCCCCCAGGCTGTGCAAGCGACGTCGGGGGCAGCTTGAGAGGGCGGAGTAAAGGCCCGTTGGATTACCCGCGTCTCTCTCTCTCTCTCTCTCTCTCTCTCTCTCTCTCTCTCTGCAAGCTAAACTTTGGGCACCAGCGCCTGGATGGAAGTTCCTTGAGCTTGCAGTCATCCATTAAGGCCTTAGTAAGCAGGGCTTTCAAACGAAAGCCCTGCATTGTCACCGAAGTGATCTGGGAACCCTGCGACAAAGGCCTCATCCACCCAGCCACCCACCTCGTGGAGACACAGAACGGCAGTGATGCACTCAGGTAAGCCTTAAACAAGCGAAACACCTCGCAGTTATCCCCCAGTCCGCCTTGCCCTGAGGATGCTCCCAGGCAGCAGGAGGTGGCTGGAGCAGGGCATCGGCCTGGGTTACCGGCACTTCTCCCTCGGCCTCGCTCTTTGGATTGAAAGCTTAGGTGCCAAATGGATGACCGAAATCGGCACAGCACGCGTCGGCAGGCACAAGGCTCGTATAAGACTGTACGACTGGGCGGTCCAAGCCCGGCAGGTTCCACGCGGAGTCACGGGCCTTAGGAACATGTGCAAAAGAGTGGAGAATGAAAATCGATGCATTGCAAGCCTGCTGCACATCGGCATCTTTGGACAAGGCCTACACCGGTATCTAGCCAAGGACCCGGCGTACCCCCAACCAACTTGGCGAAGGTTTCCGCTACCCACCCGGTATTGAAGCCTGAAGACATGAACAGACAAGCATGCCAGTCGTCCATAGCCTGTGCTTCTGCACGGAAGCAGACAATCTCTTGAAAGACATCTACAATTCGCTGCTTCTCCAAATCGACCTCTGAAGCTAAGGAGAGCGTGGACGGATCTGCGCAACCCCTGCAGCGTGCTCGATACTTAACAATCCGGATGCAAACCGATGAACCCCAGTCCACTGCACACTGGTCAAGAACTAACTGCACTCACGGAAACAACAACCTCGTCCTGCTTTTACCGAGCTTGAGTTCGCAAGAACCGAAGACATGAAGCCGCCTCGACGCTGCTTTTGTGGATCCACCTCCTGGGCAAGGTCCCGCAGAGCCTTCTCCACCTGAGACTACGGCCAACTCAAGACGAGCTGTGCCCTGCATGGTATCCCCCCCCAGGCTGTCGGCGACGTCCGATCCTCGTGATACTCGTCGTTTCAGGAAGATGGGATCGTGACCGTGAACCGGAACAGAACCCCACCACACGAACCACATCGAGGGACGAGGGAGGCGACGGAGGTCAATGCAAAGGGGAGTGCCACCGTGTTTAGCATAGTAACAACCACCATAAGGATGACATTACTCTTAACAGATAGCTGCATCAATTCCCCTCTAGAACACACTGCCCCCCTGGCCTAGTTTGCTACAGTAGCTGCCCAGCAGAGAGGAGGGAGACCAAGAATCCGAAGGACGAAGAACTGCGAAGACCACCCACCCTATACCGGGTGGTGTGCCATGGGTTTGGGGGTCGGGGAGCAGCCCTGCATCATATCCGGTATCTGCTGCCGGTGGTACTGGTGTCGGGTGCACAGCCTGAAGTTTACAACCCTCATAAAGCTGGAAAGCTCTCAAAGCTGCACAGCCCATGTCTGTCTGATGCTGGGGCATATACCCACCCCAGTGGCGTGACGGCCTGCATTGCAACGAACGTTTGTGGGTCAATTTGCCCTGAGAAAGTGGTGCGCCCTTTCCAACAATCACGAGCCACTCCGTTGAGAACAGGAGCAACCGCAGACTCAGGTGCAGAATAGCGTAACAGCAACACAGATAGTCTTACCGCGGATCTGCCTTCGCCTGACCCTCCGGCTTGCCACGCTCCTCACGGCCCGCATCAGCAAGGACCTTCGCAATGGCCACCTTGCAGCTTTGATCGAGCGGATCTTCCACGCTCAAGTTCGAGTGCAGACGTTGTGCTAGCTTGCGCGCGATGGGATTTGCTTCGAAATCTGGATGCGGCGAAGCGGAGCCGGAACTACCACCACATCTTGAGTAGCACCGCTGGCGCATCGCGTGCCTCCAGTTTGGCCTTGGCAGCTTCGAAGCAGCGCGAGGCCTGTCGAGAGGCGAGGCTCAGACTTTGTCCTTCTTGACTACGAGACTGCGACTACTCAGTGCTACAGGAAACCAGTCGGTGGAAGGTACGCAGGATGGCGCAGTGCTCAAGCTACGATAGATACATCATGACCCAGATGCCAATTACTGTGTGCAGCTGCTGAGTTTGTCTGCTTGGAGCTGTACATGCACGCTGTCCTTCGGAACACCCAGTTGCTGGGTACGGCGTGTCTCCCCACTACTCGTCTCTAATACGCAGCTTTAAACCATCCAGCAGGAAACTCCTCCCCAGGCCGCAAACCGTCCCGGCTCTGGGCGAGCAGTAGGAGCAGGCTGCCATGCATCACAGAAGAGCAGCTCGAATCTCAGCAGAATGTCTACTGTGTTCCATTGGAAGCTTTTTGAAGCTGCAGGCTATAAAGGTAATGCGGTACATTCCGGAACTAGCAGCAACTGGCAGCTGCTATAGTCACCGCGAAGTTCTCTGAGACACCCTAGTTCCCATGGCAGGAAAGTCGATGAGTTGGCAAGGACTAAATTCAGCAGGCACAGAAGCGGAGCTGTTCCACACAATCAAGCGACAGCTTCGATGCCACGTGCCTCGGCAATGGCTTTCTTTCCGACCTCTAGCAGACCCTAGCAGTCAGACCAATGAGAGGCAGGGAAAAAAAGTGTCAAGGAAAACCTGAAGGCCTCGGCCGCCGAAGTCTCCACTTCACCTCATATATGCGACACCGGGAATGCTACTGCTACACCCTGCGATCCGCCCGGCAAGCCAGCGATACCTGCACATCCAGTCCCAGCAAGGGCAGCACCGTCGAGCTGAGCCATAGCGTCGTTGAGGTCCAGACGACGCCCACCTGGTATGTGCAACGTCGCTAGAAGCCATAGGAGCTGCATGGCACTGTATGTATCGAGGGACAATTGAATCTGAAGTGATGCACAAGGCCTTCGGCAAGTACGACTGGACGGTACCGAGTGTCACGGCAATTCGCCACAGCACCTTGGCCCAAACAGAGCAGTTCAGGAAAACCATTGAGTTTCCTTACCCCAGCCATGGGCTCCGGGCGGTTAGCGAAATGAAGTACATTGCTTCGCAATCCCTGGAAAAAGGGCGCTGCACTGCTACAAAACACCACGCTGCTTGACAATGGCGCTCGCGATCCATGCTTCCCAGTAACAACACGGGGCTCCGAGTAAGGATGTAAACGAGGTTTAACATCCTTGGGGCAGAAGAACAAACAACGTGTACAAAGTGGCAGACACGATCATACCGCAGATGGTGCAAATATGTGTGTTAATTGCGGCTCCCCCCCTCTCCAACCGAGCTGAGGGTAGCTCAACCAAAGTCTTGACGACCTGTATTGACCATCACGCGTCTTTGGCCTAGGGTGGAAAAAGCGAATTTGCTTCTGTGCTTACACGTGTTGCGAGTTCTTCTGCCTGCAGAAGAAGGTTGTTTTTTGGACCAAGACAGCAGGAAAATACTTGGCCAGTGCAGCCCCTTCTATTGTGAGCGGATGCACTGTTCCGATACTTACGACATTGCGGTCCATTCTACACAGATTTCGGCTT